CACACACACACACACACACACACACACACACACACTCACACACCCTAAAATTAACCTCACAGGTTAATCACCTCACCTCACCTGACCCTAAAACTAACCTAAAGATTAGTCCTAAACCTAACCCCACACCCGTAGTTTGCATTTGGACCTGTGGGGACCAGGCATTGGTCCGATTCACTTCGGTCCCCACGAGGCTGCTTTTTAAAAATAAAAAATTATTTTATTTTTTGGTTGGGAAAATTGTCCCCACGTTGTAGGAAAAACCCATCCACACACACACACAGAGCATGTTTTGGTTGTTCTGTGTTGCAGATGATGTGCTGGTTGAAGAACAGAGCAGTTCTGCGTCTCTGCCCAGCTCGATGAACACATCTTTACCTGCTGGTGTTTCGTTGAACATGGGGATGCCCCGGAAGCGTAAGGGCAGCACAGACAACCAGTTGAGTAAAACCGGTCGTCCTTCAATCCTAACATGTTGAAAAATCAAACCAAGAGGCTAAACTAACAGGACTTGTCTTGTTTCTTTTTAGGGATTCTAACTTGGCTTCAATCAACGATGGAGATTTGGAGGATGACCAGGACAGGTGCTCTTTTTTTTCCCCAGGGAGATTAGCTGAAAAGAACAATGAAAAGCCCCAGATTCTCAGTCTTTGTAAATTAATTTCTTTTCTTTTCACAGGTCAGATGGAGAAGACCAACATGCCAAAAAAAACTGTTTCAGGTACTTTTACGTAGTTAGATTCTGTGGTTTTGATTAGTCTATCTTTCACTGATCAGCTTTAAGCTGAAGTGTGTTTTTATGGGTTTTGTGTGTTTGTGCAGGGAGCCACACAGCAAAATTGAGAAAAGACGACGAGATAAAATGAACACACTCATCGACAAGCTCTCAGCCATGATACCAACATGTAACCCCATGTCTCGTAAACTGGACAAACTCACGGTGCTCCGACTGGCGGTGCAGCACCTGAAGTCTCTCAAAGGTGCTGAGTCAGCAGATTTAAAATTAAAACCTCTGAACAGACTATACACCTCAGGTACCTGGAAATAAACTAATGCCGTCTGTCTTTTCAGGTTCAGCGAGCGCCTTTTCRGAAACAAACTACAAACCATCATTCCTTCCTGAAGAGGAGCTGAGGCACTTAGTCCTCAGGGTAAACGACAAAAACCAGTTCTCTCTTTAAAGATTCTATTGAAAGACTTCATGTCAATCACTTGAGGTTATGTCAAACTCYTAAATCAAAAGCAGCACAAGAAAACACTTTTGCAGAGAACGTTCAACTTGTTTTTTTTTTTTGTTTTTTTTACACGTTGACCACAATATACAAAAACTATTAAGTTATCAAAGAAAAGTAAAATCCAATGAATGCTGATTAAAAAAAGTGGTTTTATTTAAAAACGAACATGTAAGTGTAAAAACTGCTCGCTGGCTTTGTGTTTTTCCTCTTGATCTCATCACATTGGCTCTTTGTCTGGGTCATTTTTTGTGCAGGCTGCAGATGGGTTCCTGTTTGTTGTGGACTGTGATCGAGGGAAAATAGTGTTTGTCTCTGAGTCCATCTCGAAGATATTAAATTATAGCCGGGTAACTTTATTTTTTATTTATTTTTTTAATTTTCATCACAGAATTGTGTGAAAACCCCAGGCACACCAGTTGGTTTGTGTTAATTTTGGCATCGTTGTTGGTAGACTGGAATCCTCAAGGCGAGAAAGTACTTTAATTTAAGAAATGCAATATTTCTCATTTTATTAGGTAGACTTATTCTTATGTGCATAAATATAGTGAAGCAGTTTATAGGCTGATCCTTTCTAGAATAAACTGTCCTCAGTTGCTGCTGTGCTTTGTTGGCAGCACCAAATGTCAAAATATGAAGTTTTTTCTACAAAGTTAAATAAACTTGGCTAATATAAGCTGGAGTTGTTAGATGTTTTAAACATGTATTTTTCTCCTTGTTGGAGCTTTGTATAGTCAGCCTGGTGAGCTGTTTGGTTTTTTTTAGGCGGAGCTGATTGGACAGAGCCTGTTTGATTACATCCACCCTAAGGATATGGGGAAGGTGAAGGAGCAGCTGTCAGCTTCTGAATTACACCCTCGTGAACGGCTAATAGATGCTAAAAGTAAAGCATTTATTTTTGTCTCTGCGTGCCTGTGTGTGTGTGTGTGTTTGTGTGGAGGAGCGTGTGGGTAAATCTAACCCTCCCCGTGTCTTCAGCTGGTGTGCAGGTCCAAGCCGACCTCCCCGTCGGTGCGTCTCGGTTGTGTTCAGGCGCGCGCCGCTCTTTCTTTTATCGCATGAAATACAACAAAATCCCTGTGAAGGTGGAGGAGAAAGAACCTCAGGCCAACTCCTCTAAAAAGAAAGGTGAGAAAACCAGATAACGTTTATGATTTTTAAATTATGGTAACGTTTAAGCAGATATATTGTGTCATCTAGTACAGGGGTTCTTAACCTTTTTGACCTCGGGGCCCAATTTGTTGAACATAAAGTAGCACGAGGCCCAGTCACACGTTACCAA